AAAATATTTGTTAAGTATAATGCATTTATCATATTGTAGGTACCTTCAAAAATTAAAAAACAATGTTATGAAACAAAGCTAGAGTCAAAAGGTCTATATACAAATCATATTTAGCTAAGAAAGCCGCAATGTTCTATTCTTATTACTTTGAGCCTCATGTACACACTAGGCATTGAAAAGTGCCTTGAAAAATTTGAGTGTCTTCCAGAACCAAATGACGACATTGAAGGAATGCTTACGGTATTCAAACCCAACGGTAGACCATTAGGTCGAGCAAGATCACATGTCTTGATAGATCAAGAAAAGAATACATGTCATACCTATATTTTGTTGAACTATGATGATGTGACACCTTACACGGAGTAAGTGATATAACCGTGAAATAATACAATACCGAACTTCATTAATTATCAATCATCTTAATAATATATAATTAGAAATTTTTTTGTTCTTCATATATTTTATCACCCAACTTTATGAAAGTGATCCTAACGTATCGAAGAACGAGGTAGATGTTCGACTTGAAACCGATTTTGCATCTAGGTTCCATCAATATGTAAGTAACATAAATTAATGATCTTATTATTATGAAAATAGTTATCCGGCATTTCATACTAATAGTAAGTAATGGATCCGATATTTACAAGCAAGTAATGCATAACCCAATACGATAACCGATCATTACATCAAAGATCTTACAAAAGGACCATGACGAATAACTAAGTCGTATCCAAGATACATTGTGAATGGATATAAGTTCCACATTGATAATCATGGTTCGGAGAGATCAATAATATATAGTGGTATATGTGTAAAAAGAGTTAGCTACGGTGCGAGTGGAAAATGACTACTATGGTAGGTTGACTGATATACTAGAACTTGAGTATCCCGCCTCACCAATCAAGAAAATCGTACTATTCAAATGTGATTGGTATGATACAACACTTGACAATGGTATAAGAGTTCATGATCATTATAGACTAATGAAGGTCAATAGTCGTAAGACATCAAATAGATCTAATCCCTTTATACTAGTAATTGAAGCGCATCGGACGCGATTGGTTAGCGAGTATATAAGGTAAAACCAAGACCGATGGTGGATGTGTCCGAATCGTCTACTACCATCGACCAAACAATTATCGAACCCTTTCAAGAAAACAGAATGGAAGGCCAACATAATGCCATCCAAGTTGATGATGACAAAGATCACTCATTGAATGATCCAACTAGAGTGTTACTAGATTTAGAAGATAGTGAAATTAATGTAGAGAATGGAGTTGAATTTGAAACAGATTTTGAGAAAAACTTAGATGAAGAATGTGACAATGATAACCATGACACCGATTAGTGATATGGTAGATCCTAGCTATTACATTATGTAATCTTGATTTTTATATTCAATGCCCATATTGTCGATTAGAATTTTATATAATTCTAGTAGCAAATAAGGTTTTAGGCAACCTTGTCCTCCCGAGTTTATTGGGATAGGTTTGGTTTTGTCACCCCATGTAATTTTTCACCTTATTTCAATATATCTCCGAGGTACCATCCCTATTTTAAAAAGAAAATTTTTAATATAATTAAAATTATTCATGTTAATATGAATGTTAGATGGTAGTATTATGTAATTAATATTTTATTTTAATACTAATGAATGAAATAGTATACAGAGTTAAAATGCCTCGGGGTAGGGGACGTACTAGGCTTCACTAGCCCATGTCATATGGTGAGGGTTGCGGTTCGGACATTGATTCGAGTATCGATCGTGGATGTTATTCTCTTTCCTTTCCGGGTTGGATGGACCTCCTATGCAAATGCCTTCGTACCACCCATCCGGTTCTACCATGATATACCCATCATTTCCTTCGTGGCTAGAGCCCGAGCGGTTTCCTTCGGACCTCAAAGTCCCCGACCAAATTTTCCTTCGTCATCGTCGGCGCCCTCTTTTTCGCAACAAGACAACCGTTTTGATCCCGAACAAGTAAGGTTGCAAAACATGATTTGTCCATTGGCTTTAGAACCTATCGGACCCACAGTCGATCTATAAGTTTCGATCATTCTTGTTGGTCGTAATGAGTACGTTCTATGCATAATTTTATAAAAATATTTTTCTTTATTACCATAATAATATATTCATTTATTTGTTAAGTTAATGGCTACTTTCATTGGTTGTATCCTTCGGATGTTTGCATTCAACATATCTCTAAGACATTCCATGAGTATGTTCACATATCTAGATGGATGTGGAAGAAAATGAGTTCGAAAACAAAAGACTTATACCGAAAAGAGTTTCGTGTACTATTTTATTTAGTTAATTTATTATGTTACTTCATATTAAAAAAAAATATCCAACTAAGTATACTAATGAATTTTTTTTTCTTGCATAAGGTATTTACGTGGGAGAATAACAAGTTCACTAGTAAGACGAAGCATAGGAATGTCCGGCATGAAAGCGGTATTTTGATTTTATTTTTCATCTCAAGCAAGGCTCGAAGCCAATATTTATCTCACAAGAAATATAGGATACATGGAGTGCGAATTGGCAAAATCCGAGGCCATTGCCTAATCTAAGATGGTGACATGAAACCGCAGGAGTAAGACTGGTGACACCGGAACCGGTCCTTCAAGGCATACGGGGGTCAATCGGCCATAGAGAGCACGTAATATGCATGATAAATATATTTATATATACTAATTTTTTTTAGTGATTTCAATACAATTAATTAAAAGTTTGAGTATATTTCATATATTTACGTATACTTATTTCGAGTGTGAGTTATTGGGTCGTGAACCGATTCGTGCGAGGTTTTTAAAAGGACTCATCGGAAAAAGGTTAATGATCAATATGTATTCGTTGATCAACGATCAAGAGCTATCGGAGTAAGCTTTTAGTTTATCACTTCATATCAAAAATATTAATTTTTAACATTATTTAACATAGTCGCTTAATATTTTATATTTCACAATTATGCAGGAGACCGTAGAAAGAATGATTGAGGAGGAGTTTGTTAGGCGACGGACCGAATGGGGGTTCATCATCGGACATCAACATTAATAAGATATTTAGGACTGCCGTTGGTGGAGGAGATAGTAAGAGGAAGAGGATGTACGGACTTGGGTCACATGCATCGCACTACTACTTTAACATTAGTACGGCCTCCGGTTCGATAACTTCGTATTGCAATGTTGGTGATGAGGCATAACAAAAGGAGGGCAAGGATCAATATAGTCGGTTAAAGTCTACTATCACATCGTTGGTGGTTACAACTAAAAGATTGAAGGAGTACGATCGACAACAACAAGCAATGATGACACGGATGCAACAAATGTTTATGTAGCAAATGCATTCGGGTAGTTTATTCGTCGTGCTTAACACCGATAATGATTCCACCAAACCTCTAGACAATTCCACTTAACCTCCGAGTGATGATCATGCTAATCAATCCTAGTTTATTATTTTTTATTTATTGTAATAACAACAAACTTTCGAATGTTTATGAGAATTTATTAATTCAATAATATGTTTTACATTTTAAATAAACTTATTCAATTTTAAAATTTTATCTTTTGGGTATTTTTTTAATTTTAAATTGAAATTAAAAAAAAACGAAATAGGTAATTAGCGATGGAATTAGAGACGGAATAAACCGTCTCTAATTCCGTTTATTTAGTGACGATCTAATTTTTGGTTGCAAAACTGTCGTAAAATTGTGACGGGTCTAGTCCGTCGCAGAAATTAGAGATGGTCTAAAATCATCATAAAACCATCATAAAATTTACCGAATAACATTTTTTTGAGGTTTTTTAGATCGTTGCAAAACCATCTCTAAATAAAATTAGCGATGATTTTTATATGATTAGAGACGGACTAGACCGTCGCTAATCATATATATATATATTTTTGTAGTGATGTTGTGAACTCACTTGGCTATCCAATTTACTCCTCGATTTGTCCGTTCACTCCACACTTCCAATTCTACTACATTGTGACGACCATGCTCGCCCTACATATAGCAACAAATATGATCCTTCATAAGTGAACAAAACACATTGAACTCGATCGTCATTTAATACTAGAAAAATTACAAAAGGGTTTTATTTCTATGACACACATTTCTACCAAATCTCAACCTCGTCGACATATTCACCAAATCACCGACTCGGGATCCGATGCACCGAGCACCTTTTCAAGTTAGGTGTGCTCGATAGAGGGGAGTAATAAGGTTTGAAATATTTTCCAACCCTTCCTCTTTTTCCTTAATTGTCTTCTTCTTATTTAGAACCTGAATTAGGTTTTCCTTGGAACCTAATTTAGAGGGTTTTCCTTTATTGACTAATATACAGCTATGCATAAACTCGGATGACTCTTGTATTTAAATGTGGCTTGTAATTGTTTTTGATTAGATAGGGAAATATATTTTTTCCACTCCTTTGATCTCATTCGTAGTTTATCTTTTCTATCAAACTGGCATGACTTGGTAAGGAGATATAGGTGAGAGAAAAGCATTCTAGCAAAAAGTGCAGAGTTGATTAATTTAAACCAGTTGATCGAACCCTAAAAATCCAAATATTTCCCAAATTCAAATTTATCTATAGATATACAATGATTAATCAATTATTGAAAACTTTTGAAGATTATTCTGAGACTAATTCTTATGGTAATCTGGATGGGTTAAAGAGAGAGCTGTTAACTAACATTAACAGCAGTTGGACGCCAGGATAACATTGTAAAATAGAGAATCAATTTAGGATGAAATTGAAAAATTAAATTTATTTCATTGAAAATTGAAAAGCTCATTATAAAACTAGTGGCTAAATTGAAGTTTCTCATATTGCACAGTTTGTTTCCTAAACCGTCAAGGCGAAAGATTCAGGTCATGCAACTTCTATATCTTATATTGCAGAGATTGTTTCCTAAACCGTCAAGGAGAAAGATTCAGGTCTTGCCACTTCTATATATATATAACGCTATAGAAAAACCAATTTCACGATCCATTTCAATGCTAGGTCTAGTTCTTTCCGTATTCGTACTTATTGTGTGTGGAGTGGCTATCTTTGGGGCTGCACTGATACCAATTTATTTGCAATGGCATCGTAACAAAGATCAACGAGATCTTCTTGATCTTGAAAGAGGTGAGGGAACTCGAAGTCCACAGTTTGAAGATCAACAACCTGATCATAATCTTCATGAAGGAGGAGAGGAAATTAGAAATCGACAATATGAAGTTCAGCATCTTCACGATCTTGAAAGAGGAGAGGAAGCCAGAAAACTACAACTTGCTACTATTTCATTAATATTGCAATTAACTCATGTTCGAAGCGATGACGAAAGGATAGTGATGAAGTTTAGAAATAATGCATGCGTGATATGCTTGGAGGATTTTAAGGTGGGCGAGGATTGCCAGGTTCTGTTCTTGTGCAAGCATGTTTTCCATTCAGATTGCCTTAAAGAATGGCTAGTTCGGAATCAGCGCTGTCCCCTTTGTCGAATCCCAGTATTACTTGAAGTTTTTCTTTGTATCTATCGTGTTCAACTTACCATTAGGTGGGTGTTCTTTTTTTACTTGGTCAGTTCACTCGACTCTTTATTGATGTAAACTGTAAGGAAGGAATTTCCATCGGATCACGTAATGCAATTATATAAAGTTCCTGGAGATTTCTATCTTACCGTACTTGCCTTCAATTCATTTTCTTGGATGTCATGATTACCGTCAATTGTGTTTGACAATACGTTGTGGTGTATCTTTTCTCTTTTCCTGATTTCTAATTTTTTGTTTTTGACAATACCAAAGGTGCTACTGGACCTTATTTAATTATGATGTTTGATGATATGCTCATGCGCACAGTTTTCCCTTTTTTCTCTTTTTTTTTTTTTTAAAAGATCATTGTTGGGCCTCCAACCAGTCAATAACCACCTCACCAATACCTCCATCTTGATACACGATGCGCCTGAATTACTATTTGAGTTATCTAACGCATCTAATTCTTTTTTAAATCATCTAACCCAAAACCAAATTTGTTAATTTTAATACATCTTAGGCATTTGTTAAAATTGATAGAAATTAATTAGGTGACCAATCACAGTTAAGAACTAAAAGATTGGTACCATTGCTTTCGTGAGGCTAATACCCTCCGCATAAGCACGCAAAAGCCTCCACTCAGATTGAATTCTCTCTGCTTGTAACCTATAATGAATGAGAATTGGGGTGCTTTATTAGTCCCGTCAAACGTTAGTGTGAAAAATCTAGCCATCTTCAGATTTTAAGATTATTTAGAGCTCCACCACATATGTATATATCCTTTTTAAATTCATGTTATGCATTTTGCGTATTATCACACAATGACCTAGGTGATCCTAAAGGTATATTCATCAAAAGTAGAGTCGTCATTAAATTTTTTCAAGGCAAAAACTTATTTAAAAAAAAAAAACAACCTTAAAATTAATCCTAAAAATTCTGATTAAAAAGAGTAGTTACACAATTAAAAAAGATCACAGCCATATTAGTGTCTTTTTAATGAGGTTACCATTAAAATCTAAATTATGGTACTTTTTTTATGCAAAGTCTTTTGTTTGTGTCTATTTATCTATCTTGATTTGTAAATTGGTTAAGTTTTTTTTCTAACCAAATCTAAATAAAGTGATTTGAAGATTGAGAGAATGCTTGATCTTTCAACAAAATTAACATTGAATCATTGGAGTCCATTTTTGAAAAGGAAGAAGCTATGGGTAAAAGTTCATGTGCCAATTAAAAGACTCAGAACAAAATTGAACGATTTGGACTTTAAGCCCCAATTCACTTGCCAAACTATATAAATGAAATAAATATAAGTCTAAGAACAATCCATAAATCCGAAAAAAATAATGTCATATGCCTTTGGTCTGTATCAACGGTCACACCTTCCCAACTTGCAATTGCTAATCCTCCCAAAGTCTCTAAGAAATTAATGATATATTCAACCTATTCTATTGACTTATTAACCAACAAACTAAAAGAGATTGACAAAAAGAACAGTAGTTTACTATGAATTTCACTGTTTATAAGACTCAAATACCATAGACATACACCCAAAGTCATTGTATTTTTTCACCATACAGTAGCATTTTTTAATTTTCAAATTATTTTTAGTCATTTTATATGCAAGTTTAGTCAAATGTTACACTTTGATTTCTAATTTTTTTTCATACAAATTTGTTTAAGTATCAAACTTCATTTATATCATGATTTAGTCCCTAGTTGTTGGGACGAGTGAGGAATGACATTAGGAGAAAGAAAGTCATGGCAAGATTCATTTAGGCCACTTTGACTCTCGATATTGGCTTTAATTTGTTCCTCTTGAAGTTGAGAGTTTGTTTATGGTGATCATATGAAATGATTGAAAAAAGTAGATCAAAACCCCAAAATATTTTGAGTTTTTGAATTTGGTTTGGATTTTTTTTGTGTATTTTGTGTGTACGAAAATGAGTTTTGAGGTTTTAGAATTTATTGATTTTATTTCTATGATTTTAAATCTTTTTAAACAAAATTAATATTGAATTTGGCTTCGGAGAGGTCCAAAACTGAAAACCCATTTTTTCAGCAACTTTTCCAACGAACTCGGCTTACTAGAAATTATAGATAAATAACACGTCATCTGCTACAAACGTACGATATAGTCCGTTTTTGTTTCTTTTATTTTTTATTTTTTATTTTTTTATAAGCTACCCAATGCAAGCTTGGTTCTCTAAGCCCAACCGTGTAAGCTTGTGGTCCAACTTAGTTCTTTCTTTTTCTTTTCTTTTTTTAGTAATTTCTTATTATTATTATAGATTTTTGGACGAATATTCTGAAAGACAGATCGTTATTTTTTTGGATTTCATATGTAGCTTAGTGAATATATATATACCACTCTTATTATTTAAAATTTATTCTTTTAATTTGTCATTTTTATGAAAATTGTCATCCAATTAATTTTTTTTGTATAAAATTTATTTATTGACAAATATGATTTATTTTTCTCTATGTATGGATTTTGAATAAAAATTTAGAATATGATTGTTTTCTCCTTTTTCCAAATAAAAACAAAATTGATATGTGCATACACTATGAAATAATTGTTGGAATGAGATCAATAGTCTAAATTAACTACAATATCTCGTTATGCAACACTAAGTTTTATTTTTCCCAAACCATTTATTCATTTATTTATTTTCTCTTTTAAATTATGATTTGTTTATTTATATACTTTTGTTGATTAATATTTCATTGATCTTCGTATCTTGTTTCATTGTTTTATTATCATTTGTTGCATTAATTGTTTATTTTATTTTAAATCTTTTCTCATTCTATTACTTTGATTATCCTATATGGCTTTTGACACTAAGGGGACTTTGATAAAACTGAAAATTAAATGCTGAATATGTTAAGTACTAAATAATTAACTACTAAATATGTTCCTAATAAGTTATTTGGTATTTATTGAAAATTAAATACTGAATATAATAAGCTTGTTTGATAAGTACTGTTGCTCGAACATATTAAGGCTATATATATGATATTTTTAACCTTGTAATTGTAACATAATATTTTTTTAATACAAATAGAAATATATACACCGATATGTTTGTGTGTACAAATAAATAAATAAATAAATAAAATTATTAATAAAAAAATTAAATACGATCTAAGATAACATTAATTAGCATTTCGGATTTCGGGATGGTAGCACTAATAATGGAAAACGTTTCCTCTGTTTTAGCAATGGCAATAGTGGAGATTATTTTCCAGTTGGTCCGTATATCTAAAAATATATAGGGGCGATATAATCATATTTGAAAAGTTTTAAAAATCTTTTAACCGAATGTGTTAATAAAAAAGTAATAAGTTAAAAATTTCAACTTATTTAATTAAGTAGATTTTGACCGAACTTAAATTTTTAATATGAGATTTTTTAGGTTATCAAATATACTTTTTATATTAAGTACTATAACTTGATTTTTTAAGCTACTTAAATAGGTTATCAAACACTCCCTAATGAATGCTATGATGACTTTTACTAATTAACAAATTTAATGTTTACAAGTACCGAGTTTGAAATAAATAAAAGATAAAAAAAATCATTTGATGATGGAATTTAAGAAGTTTGCGGTATGATTTTCTAAAATAATTTCGAATTGAAGGATAATTGTTGGATCCCACCAAACGCACCAAAGGATCCGAGAAGAATTCTAATATTGAAAATCTAATTTGATAAACTTAGATAACAATTATGTAAATAATAACATTAATATTATGAAAATCTAAATTTATAATTTTAGGTCGCTACCCAACATGTCGGGGAATCCCGAAATATTGTTAATGCTAAAAAATAATATAATTTTATATGGTTAAGAAAAGATATATATATATATATATATATATATATATATATATATATATATATATATATATATATATATATATTGATGGAATAATTAACCCTTCTTTTCTAGAAATTACTTGCGGTAAAAGGGTATTTTTAGGATACCGCCAAAAGTGTTGGAGGATCCTAAGAGAAACCCAATGGCGAGTGGAGGAAAAAAAAAAAAGAAAAAAGAAAGTTCCAAATTTTAGTAAGCATGAAATAAAAATAAATATAGCCAACTTTTGATTATGAATAGCCATTCTTTCGAATGGGTGTTTTGGAGGTGCTAACACCTTCTCCAAACACAAACAAAGCCCCAAACCATAAACCAAGCTTAAGTAGATCGAAATATTTATTGATCTTACTAAATTTTAGGCATTTGATAAAATTAATATTGTTGACTCAAGGGTTATCAACTCTAATGAATTAACAAACTAAATATTTAATATAAGTAATATTACTATATTTGAAATTATTTAATGTTATATCTAACATGTGATTAAGTTAGGTGAAACAACATTGAACTACATTTGCTTATGATTAGGGTTTTCAATGGATCAGATTTTAATTTGAATCCAAATTAATTAAATAGATTTGGCATATAATTTTTATAATTCAAATTTGATTATGACATGGATCCATTAATTCGTTTATTAAATGAATCAAATAATGATTTATCTTGATCATGTTTCATTAAACCCGATCCAAAATTGAATACAATATTATTTTCAATAAATATTATTTTTTAATATATTAAATATATTGAAAATTTGAATATGAGAAAAAAATATAAATATGAGACTAGATTGAAATTCAAGGTTTATTTATTCTAAATTCCAATAATGCATATCATTCCATAATGACGATAGTGTTTTCCAAAAATCCACAAGTAATGTTTTTGTCATTTTCTTAATTAAACTTCGTGATTAAATATCTTTCCAAGAGCTTGTTATAAAATAAATATAAATAATAGGAGAATTGAAGAAAATGATGACAAGAAAATGAAATCACTATAATGTGAATATAAGTGATAAGAACTTCAAAGTTTCTTTTATTCTCTATAGGAAACTTGTACACCAACTAATAAACAATCAAGCCTATTTATAGGCTTCAAAATTGAGGTGAGAATTGGAACGAACTATGAATAATCAATTGCATCACCTTTTCAATTTCTTATATTGAATGATGAATTGAATCATATTAAAAATCATGAGTATTGGGGATATGAAAAATGGATGAACATTATGATGGACATTCATTATTTTATAACACTCCCTTTGAATGTCCATTGTACAATGAACATGCCTCGTTAAAACCTTACTAGGAAAAAACCTAGTAGGAAAAAAATCCTAGTGAAGAAAAAGAGTACAATATTCCTTACACACGTTAATCTCCATTTTGGTCTCCCATGTGAAAGGCATTATTTAAGATCTTTAAGATGACGTATTCCAATCTTGTGAATCATTTTCTCAAAAGTTGTGGTAGATAATGTTTTAGTGAATAAATCTGCTGGATTATCACTTTGATGTATTCTTCCTTCAATGAAATTATGCAAGCAGCATTATCCTCATATGATATTGTTAGAACTTCTTTTGCTTGGTAGATAAACTGCATATCTCTTGGATACGATGAATCATTGATCTTAGCCAAACACATTATCGACTTGCCTCGTGAATTGATATTTTTGCATGATTTAAAGATGTGACGACTATAGTTTGCTTTATAGAACATAACAATATAGCTGGATCTCTATATATAAATATATAACTAGTTATAATCGATCTTTATGTAGATCAGATAAATAACTCGCATCTGCATAACCAATTAATCTTGTCTTTAATTTATTAGAGTAA